CTGGGTTAGCCCGCTTGTCCTATAAAGCGACCATATAATACCGGGGGACTGTCATTCGTGTCCTTCAACTAAAATGCACAATGAATGCTTTTTTAACGGTTCTCTTTGTAGCCTGTAAAAGCTGTCTTCAAAATCTGCTCACAAATAATGAAACTAATTATTATGATAATTTAAGCAATATTTGTAATCTAAAAACAAAAACAAAAATATAATTTTAAAATAATAAAAATGATGAAGATGATTATTATTGTTATTAGTAGTAGTATAGTCGTGGTACAGTTGTAGTAGTCGTTGTGGTCAGTGGCGGTGGGTGGACCCAAATTTGGGTGGGGCTTAGATTGCTTCCACTTCTATACCACCAAAAAGCAAGCAATAAGAACAAAACAGTGATAATTTTTCTATACTCACGGCGAGCCACGGCATTTTGAGAAGCATTCAGAAGAGACAAGTCACCTTTGTCTTCCAACTCTTAGTTTAAATTCTTCTGGATGATGAGGACGAAACCGTTTCACCTTCAAGTTTTTCTAATTAATTTTCATCTAATGAAAAGGTTGCCTAAAAAGTCGTTTGATGTAATTAATAACTGTTAAATCTCAGCGGCACACACACAAACATGCACACAAAGCACTCCAAACATAGTATTGTACCGTCCATTAGCTGGATTAGGCCGTGCAGTCGCGGAAAGTACACCACACAACAAAAGTGCTATGAAGCATAGGTAACTGTGTCACTGGAGGAAAGTGTGTCGTAAACTTTCACCTCATTGTCAGGGCTAGGAGAGCGTGAGCCCTCTGTGCAGTGTTATTTTTTTCAAGTCGTCTACCGTTTTGCAAGAGCGGTTTCATAATGGAAGAGGGGGGGGGGGCGTGAGAGCGGGCTTGTCTTTTGCTGAGCCCTAAAGACATTTGTGAGGCAGCGTGGTGGAATCAGGCTCTCCTCAATTTTTGGACATGTAGAGTTATGGGTACCATCTTAAAACTTGTTCATTTGTCTTTATTTGGATGAAAAAATATCCATTTATCTTAAATACAAGTCGAGATATTTGCGAATGAAGGAGGTGGGGGTCTCCTGTTTTTAGAGGTAAAATAAGTGAGAAAATGGCCACCAAAGATTAGTTATTTCCTTAGGCAACTGAAAATTTACATCTATTGTACCTTGAATCAACGTTTTTCTGAAAAATCCACATAGAAACGAGTTCTTTGATGAGCATGAAAGGTGTTGAACCAAAAAACAAAAATTTGATAAAAACTCACAAACCTGCGGAAAAATGCAAGTTTCTTCACTTTGATTATTTTGACGAGAGCCTGATTCCACCACGCTGCCTCACATTTGATTGGTGAAAAATGAAAATGGTGAAGTGGCATAGGTTTAACGCCCCTATCAACACTATTAGGTTATTTAAGGGGCGGGACCTCCTAGTTAAACGTCCGTCTCCGATAGGACCGAGTCAAGTAGGAAGTTCGTGTAAAGTGCATTCCCAAGGACACAACGTCGGACCGAGCTGAGGCTCGAACCCCCGAACCCGTAATCTCACGATTATGAGTCCGGCAGCCTAACCCCAACATTTGATTGGCTGTCAGGTTACTATAGTTGTAAGCGGTGACAACAGTGATTGGATTAACGAGCAAGCCGCCAAGTTGATCACTCCGTGTTCATTGCGTGCAATCATAACGGTTGCAACTACTTATTTCGTTATTTTCATTTAATTAGAGACAGAGTTGGGG